TGTGCTGAGAAGGTCGGCTGGTGGCACATCTTGAGCACTTAGGGGGGAGGCACTTGCTGAGCATGTTATACGCATCTCTGATCCATCCATACAGCTACCTATATGACTATCCCAATCTACAATCTCAGGTCACCGAGATTCAGCCGAGGTTTGACTCACAACTCTGGGTCTCTGGCTCTGGAAGGTGAACTCTTAGTTGCCACATCACCTTGCCTCTCTGGACTCTTTCAGATGGGGTGAACCTGGTCCCTCTCTTTTCCCTGGAAGACTTACAATGAAGATTCATGAGTCTTCTCCCTGTATCAAATTCTTTGGTTATATTCCAGGCAAACCTAGAGAGGACTCTTTGAAGCAACCCCCAAAACTGACCATGTTGTAAAGTCAGACAAATATGCGTTTGTGGCATCATCACATGTTAAGACACATGGAGCAACTACGGGCATAAGAGCAGGATTCAACATTCCAGTCTTACTAGTGGTGTAGTCTTAGGCAAGTTACTTCCTCTGTGAAAGGGAAACGGTAGCACTCAGGCTTGTTATTCTAGCTTGCCTTCTGTGTTGCTGTGATAACTGCCATGACCAAAATCAACTTGGAGAGAAAAGAATTTACATTTCCAGATCACAGTCCATCACTGAAGGAAGTAAAGGCAGGATCAAGCAGGAACTAAAGAAGAAACCATGGAAGAATGATTTTTACTAGCTCATTTACTGGCTCATGGTCAGCTAGCTTTCTTATATGGCTCAGACTCACCTAAGAATAGTGCTGCCCATAGTGGACAGTGTCTTCCCACATCAATTATCAGTCAAGATGGTTTCTTACAGACATCGTCACAGGCCAATCTGATCCAAACGATATTGACATTTCTTCCCAGTGACTCCAGGTTGTGTCAAGTTGACAATTAAGAAAACAAAATCACTTGTCCAAAGGTTACTGACAATAGTTGCTCTTTCCAAACCTTATACATCTAAGATATACCGAGTTATACTCTAAACCCCCAAGTATGGGCTGAAAATGATCCCTTTAAAATGTCAAAAGTAAAGACTAGAGCAATGCTTTGGTGGTAAAGTATATTGGCTGCTGTTCCAGGGGATTCAGATTCAACCCTCAGTACCTACGTGACAGTTCACAGCTGTCCCAGGAGATCTGAAACATTTTTCTGTCCTCCAGGAGCACCATAAGTACACAGTGCACATATATACATATGGACCAAACACCCATACATATAAAATTTTAAAAAAATGAAAATGACAACTAATGTCCTTTAACAATTTACCCAGCAAGTTATTTTTTTTTTCTGTTGTACTTCTCATCTTTTGAGTTACAGCTTCAGATGACTTTTTAGTAGTTGCTTCAGGTAACTTTTTTCCATTAACAACTGTTCCCAAAACTTGTGAACTCTCCTTTGGTCTTCACTCTAACATTGGGTATCCCAATCCTTATCTAGCTACACAACTAGTCCTCTGTTGGAGATTGGTTCTAATGCTTTGATTTGATCAGGAAACTGCATGTCCAAACACTAAAAGTCCTTGTCCCCAGTTGGTCTTTGATTGATCAATAAAGATTCCAGTGGCCAATGGCTGGGCAAAGGGAGATGAGACGGGATGAGAGTTGTGCAGGCTAGGGCACAGGAAAGAGGAAGATCACCATGATGCGGTATGAGATGGATCCGATTTAGAATTGCGGGAGGAGATAAAGCCTACCAACTGTTTGAGATTTCAAGTAAGTGGCCACAGGCCACTTCTCCATTGGGCCTAGGGTAGCAGAGGGAAGGTTAGAAGTGCCATTGAGCTAGATGGCATATTAAAAATAAGCTAATGTGTGTGACTTTCACTCACAGACCCAAAGAGTCCCTGGGTGGGTGGGAAGCTTGAAGTACAACTGCAGTGAGCACAAAGCAGTGTGGCTAAAATTACTGTTACAGAACTCCAGAACTAGATTCAGAGTATAGTTCAAATTTTTCTGTCTTCCTCCATCTCTGCTTAATTCTAACCATGCCTACTAACTCCAAGCTCAGCTCAACTGTCCCATCGCTAAGATCTGCACAATTGTCTCCACTCCATTGAATTCCCTTGTTACAAGCTCCATAGAGAGGTATGGTCATTTTTTTTTCCTATTCTAACACTTCTCATACTCTTCTTTGTGTTCTCTTGTCATTCTTTTTTTTTTCTGGTTTTTCGAGATAGAGTGTCTCTGTGTAGCCCTGGCTGTCCTGGAGCTCACTCTGTAGACCAGGCTGGCCTCAAACTCAGAAATCTGCCTGTCTCTGCCTCCCAAGTGCTGGGGTTAAAGGCGTGTGCTACCACTGCCCGGCTTTTCTCTTGTCATTCTTACTAGATTATAAACACCATAAGGACAAGATCCAGGACTACCCATTGCCCCAATGATAGCAGCAGGGAGATTGTGAGGGTTACAACATTAGCTTAAGTCACAATGCCACAATTGTCTATACTGTCTTCTAAATCTTGACCTCAGGCAAGTTACCTTCATTTTAAAACCTATCCTAAGTAACCTGTACTTAGCATATAGATACCTTGTGAAAAGGGAATGAAATATTTTATGTAAAATGCTTAGCAAATATGTGCCACCTTTTTCAGTTCATGGTAGAGATAAGATATTACAATGTTTGCAGCCAAGTAGTCTTTGCACTGATTAACTTAACAAGATTTTATTGAGTGTTATGTTAGTCTGCTTGGGCTGCCATATCAAAATACCATAGACCAGGTGGCTGAAGCAACATACCAAGATATCACTTTTGGAGGCTGGGATGTAGAAGGCAGGGAGCTTGTTTCCTAGCGAGGGGCCTCTTCGTGGCTTGCAGATGGCTGCCTTCATGCTGTCCCCTTGCTTAGGGGAGAAAACATTCTCTTGCTCTGTCTAATCTTAACTGCTTCATCTTCTGCATTGTTATCTTCCTCTTGGTCTTCCTTTTTCTGCTACTAATCTGATAGTAGAGTCTTACCAGTCCTCATGACTCCATCAGTCCTCAAAGCCTTAACTCTAAATACCTTTGAGAGTTAGGACTTCAACATAAGCTTTTTAAGAGGACAGAACTCAGTTCATATTAAGGACCTGCACATTAAGTGAATAGTCTAGGTACACAGCAGTGGACAAGATAGACAAAAGTCCCTGTTTACATTTTTCTACTATGATAAAGTAAATTAGCATGTATAGACACAAGAGTGCCTACCAATTACATAGAATATGCTTATAACCCGTGGGTGGCTATACCATATTACCTCCTCAAGGGGAATTCAGTTGCAGACGGGATTGAGTTTGCTAAACAGCTGACCTTCACATGGAGAGAGAAACCTGGCTGAACCATATGCCATCACATAAGACTATATTGCTTTTTAAAAAATTTATTATGAGTGTTCATGTGTATGTGCCTATGTGAGTTTATGTGCACCGTGTGCATGCAGGTGCCTGTGGAAGTCACAAGGGATGTGTGATCTGCTGAATCCGGAGTTATGGGTGGTTGTGAGCTTCTGGCAGTGGGTAATGGAGCCACCTTCGGGTCCCCTGGAAAAGCACCAAGTAAATACTCTTAACTATTGTACCATCTTTCCAACTCTGCTCATTTTGTCTGTAGCTTTTTGAACTTTAAGTTTCTGGCTTTTTCTCCCATAGAAAACTAAAACTAAAGCTATGGGGAGTGAACAAAAAGCAGTATTTGGTGTGTCTTATGGTGACGTATTTCATAGAGAAAGCTGGAGCAGAGCATCTGAGTACGGGTGTCTTGAGGGGGGATAGGTAGTGTCGAAAAGCAAGGACTCTGAGTGAAGAGCTAGAGAGAAAAGGGTAGACGCTGAGGCATGATGTGACTGAACAATTCAGAAAACTGTCCCGGGCAGAGAGCATAGCAAGTTCGAAGGCCCCAGGTAGGAGTTTTCCAGTCGTTTGTGTGAGCCAAGAAGGGCATCACATATCGAGAGACGTTTGTAAGGAAAGGCTAATAGGAGTGGGGCAAGGAAATATATGTAAATATCTCCTATATTTCACCTAATTTATTGCCATTCTTTTAAGAGTGTAGTAGAAATTATGGAATATAATAGCTAATCAAGTCACTTGATACTACCCAATCAGTATGCATTAAGATATTTATAAGAGAATAAAAGCGGGTAGAAAAAATCAGCTTCATTTTTTTCTTTCAGTTCATGTTTGAAGATTCCTACCAAGGACTAAGAATATGTCTCATAATTGGTTTACTCGTAATCCCCCGGCGAGGTAGTTATGACGTCCAAACATTTTTTTTTTCATGAGTTAATGCTACTTTCCGAGGTGTTTCAGTCCGTCCATGGCATTTTATAACTGGCAGAAAATTTCGGAGGAGGTTAAGTCCTTTGGCCTTTCCTGGGTACCTTGGAAAAACAACTTGAGGAGGAAAGGGTTTATGCGGCTTATGCACAGTCCACCATAAAGGGAAGTCAGGACGGGAACTGAAGGCAGTTAGTTACCTGGAATCAGGAACTGAAGCAGAAGCCATGGTGGAGCGCTGCTCACTGGCTTGCTTCTCATGGAGTTCCTTCACGCTGGCAGCAGCTTCTGGAACAGGAGGAAAAGAGCGAGTTCCTCCAGCCCAAGCAGCGACGCTTGCAGATCCTCGGGAGGTGCTTTCTTATACACACTAAGGCTACCTGCCCAACACTGACATCACCCACATTGGGCTGGATCCCCCAACCAATCATTAATCAAGAAAATGCTGGACAGACTTATTAATAGACTGTCTTATGAGGGTATTTTTTCAATCAAAATTCCCTCCTCCTAGATATATCAAGGTTCTGTTGAGTTGATAAAGACCAACCAGGACAACATCTTTTCTAGTCTGACATCTTTCTAGCTACACTGGGCAGCGAATCAAAGTTGAGAAACTTAGACTGCTCATTGTCTCAGGCTCTTGTGGAGATTAGAGGATCCTAAAGGCAACTCGACTCCTCCACGTAGCTGCCTTTCCAGAGAAGGCCACCAGGGGACTCCGCTCTGAGCCGGTGAATTGCAGTGGCGCCCGGGCGAGCTGCGCGGCGCGCTGGGTGCATGTGGGGGCCGCAACAGAACCGTGGCCTCTGCATCTGGAGTCACGCGTGCTGACCAGAAGGCCCCTCGCGTGAATCTGCAAGCATCGCTGCTCGGGCTGGAGGAGCTCACTCTTTTTCTCCTGCTCCAGAAGCTGTTGCCGGCGTGAAGGAACCCAACAGGGCCCTAGGCAGAAGGTTAAAACCCCACGGTAAGAGATTCTTTAAAGAGTGGGGAGGAGGCGCAGTCGCAGCTTCCCGCTCTGGATTGTGCCCAGGAGGGCCAAGGTGTGGGACAGATTTAGAGAGGATCAATCGTCCGGACCCCTGTCCTCACCCCTTGTCCGCGAGCTTCCGGGGTTGGAGTCTGGTTTAGCCAGTGCGTGCTCCTTAGCTTCTCTCTGCCTCCGGGTACGCACTTCCCGGGCTGGAATGTGAGTCCAGTTCTCACCCAGGGGTCTGTGGCTTTGATCTGAAATACACCCCCTCCCGCCCCCTTCAAGGTGCAGATCTCACCCGGAATCCATTCGGAATCTCAGAGGCAGGTGGGGTGCGGGTCGGCCTGAAGCGGCGGGAAGAGAAACTTTTAGAAAAGTGCATCTGAGCAGGGGGACGCTCCTGGGCTCCTGGATCCCAGAGCAGGCTCGGCGTGGGGCTGTGTAGGGAGGGCTACAGCGCACAGTCTCCGTTTGTCTCCCCCTCCCCTCCGCCCACTCCCGGCTACCGATGCCTCATGAAGGGAGGGTATTAAGAATAAATGCATTTTTGCTTAACTTTTGGACCAACAACTGTCAAACATCTGGAATCATTGCCCCTCCCTTTCCTGCACCAGAGAAGGTGAAAACTAAACTTTCCCTTGATTTCTCCTCCCCACCACTGGACCCCATAGGATGGTTAGTGGTAAAGAGCTGCTCCCGCCTCCTGGAGCGTGGTAGAGGCTCTAGACCACTCAGATCTCTTCCAACTCCCTTTCAGACCCTCTAGAAGTCTTCCCCACAGAGACCGGGGGGACAGAGCCATTCTCCTGTAACCCAGTGAATGGCCTTTTGTTTCTCTGCGGCTCCACTATTGTTGCGCCTCTAACAACTGGTGGGGCTCCGGCGGGGAAGGAAGTCCCTTTCGCTGCTCGGGGGGCCTTCCACTCTGGCCTTTGCGCCAGCTCGGGTCCCAGATCCCCGCTGGGGAAGGACGGCGATCGGACCCGGCTAGGCCGCCCCACCCGGGGCTTGCGGTTAGAGGGCGGAGGGAAAGTTGTTCCTAAACCCGCCTCCTAGGCTGCTTGTGGCCCAGGGCGCATTTCTCAGATCGTATCCCTTGTGAATCTGAGACGAGTGGGCGAGAGAGCGGAGGCAAAGTTCTCGAAAACCAGGAGATCCGCGAGAGGGTCCAAATGACTTCCAGTGGGGAGATAAACGCGTGTGGAAGGCCCGCAACCCGGGCAATGGCCGGAGACAGGGCACTCTCTACGGAAAGTTCAGGGGTGGCAAATTCTCAAGGGCTGAGGGGCAGGCCATTGACCACAGAAGAGTAGAGACTAACGCAAACCTGGGAAGGCTAAAGACTGCCTGGAAATAGTGGTGTAGTGACTAGCTACACTACTAATGACTAGTGGGCTTCTGACTTCACCTAAGGCTCCAAGTTTAAGACCCAAATTTCTCCCAACGATGCAGAAAAAGCAGCCCATGACTACGCAGATGCGGCCAGAGCACTGTTCTGGTTTTCATCTGCCCGAGAACAGGTGGTTTGGGGTAGCTCCTATTTCTCTAGAGGGGGGCGTCTGCTAGATTATAGGAGGTCGTGTTTCCTGGAATAAGTTAGGTACTTCCATCTAGAGCAGTTAGCGTGTGTGGGTTACTTATTAAGCAATCTTGGCAAGAGCAAAGTCACCTTCCAAAGCCGGCAGGGACCAGAACAGTTTCCCGAGGGTCGACTAGAGGAGGTTGTTGGAACCTGTGCTTCTTGCCAGCCTTGTAGAAGTTGCCTTTGCCATTTTTTTCTTGTGGAATTCCCAACTTTAGACAGTGTAGGAAATGCGGAAACATTCGCGCCCCACACACACACTCCCGCTCCCCCATCCGACTTCTAAGTTTGACACCCTTCCTCCCCCACGCAGGGGAGAAAGGTAGGCTTATATGGAGCCACCTGGGACCTATGTAGGTCTCCAAGACTCCACCCTTGTTCCGGATGGGACCCCAGCGTGTTAAGCAAGTGCTCTTATATCTCAACCGTCCTTCAAATAGTTTAAGTTCTGAGATCTGCTCAGGTCTGGTTTGCCCTTAAACTTAAAAGTTCTTTGAGAGACTGCTAACTCAAGAGAGGATATATAGAGAAACTTTCCCCCACGATTTCTAGATCTTTCCGGTGGGGTCCTGAAAAGAAAAACAGCAAGCTCTCTGAAGTGCTCAACACACTCTAATGATACGGGCCCACAAGTTTGGATTTCTTTGAAATTTATCAGTAGCAGCAAAATAACAAACGACCTGCTTAAGAAGTACTGCTTAGGTTCTGTGTGCTCAGGGAGTACCAGAAGGCATCATTAAAGTTAAAGTCAGTGGCCCAGCCAAGAAGGAAAACACAATCATCATAGAGGAAAATAGGGGTGTTCAATTTCATTAATTTTGGAACTAAAAAGGACTTATAAGTTTTTTTTTGGAACTTACCCAGAAAAATTATTGTAGGAAAATAGGAAAGTCATAGTTAAAACGTTAAAAACTCTACTCTCTCTTCTCTCTCTCTCTCTCTCTCTCTCTCTCTCTCACACACACACACACGCCACACACACGCTCCCTAGCAATGCATAAGAGAACCTACACTGCACTCTAAGTGTTAACATTGTTTTTCCATTTCTGTGGCGTTAGTAAGAGAGGAATGTTTTATTGTTGTCTCACTTAGTATTTTTTACAAATCAAAAGTGAGAATAAACATTTTTATCTTGTCCATTAACATTTCTATGTTGTTTATGTTCTTTTTGCTGGGCTTGGTCTCTGATTTTTTTTTTTAAGGATATACTCTATAAAACGAGTGTGGTTGTGACTTCTGTCAAACTATCTGTCCTGGTTAGAAAATGTTTAGCTTTTTTTGGCCAATTCTTTCTTCTCTTCTCCATGTCCTTCTCTCCTTGAAGTTTTGGGGATCAATTCCAGGGCCTCATGCAGCCATACATGTGCTCGATCACTGAACTACCCCACCCCACCTAGCCAGTCCTCTTCCCTTGCACAGAGCAAACACAGGGCAGGGCAGCAGCTATAACTTATGGAGGTAACTGCTGTCATCTCAGCAGGGCTGCACAGAGGTCAGGCAAAGGTGTCAGAGAGATGGATGGAAAGGGCCTTGTCTGCTGCTTAGCAGTGGCATACCCAGCCTCCTCCCCCCTGCCACGGTCCCAATCTAAAACAACCTTATTAATGAGCTTTTTCTTTTTTATCAAAAAGATTATATTCACTCATTTTCGTGACTGATTTATTTTGCTAGTAACATACATGCCATAATCCACAACTTTTGTTTTTATTAAAGTTAACATTTCTGGTAACTTTTCCACTGAAACTTGTCTTTTGCTTAATATCAGACTTTCTTTGACTATATTTGAACCCTGAACTTGAAAAGTCTTGCGTCTGAAGGATTTAGTAACATCCTGGTAATGGCTTTAGAATAAAGCATCCCTGGGGACATTTGAGCAGTTACAGCTTTTATCTAAGTTCTTGCTTGAAGGTGGGTGATTCTGAAATATGATAGAGGGGAAAAAAGAAGGAGAAAATTCAGTTAGTTAGGTGCTGAATAAAAACAGAAGAGTTAAATAAATAATGTAGGTAATCTGGATTACAAGGTGACTTTAAAAAGATAAAAGTACCAGGTATTATTAGAGTGCCTAATTTACTTAAATGACAGTACGCAACTCTCCGACAGGGAAAATTGAACATGAGTGTAGAATTCCACCACAGTATGACTTTAGACATTTACTTTAGGTGCATACACATAAAAAACCATCCACTATGAGAGACTGTCACTCATTTCTCTGCCTTCTCCTAACCCCACTGCAGACCTGAGAATCCAGTCCAAGTGTCATGTACATGTTAGACAAGTACAACCATCACTGAGCTGAATCTATAGCCTTTTCTATACCTTTAAATATACAAATCAAATAAAACATTCCAGGCATGATACATGTGCTACATTAGAGTCACAGGCTCTCGGGTGTTAAGGAGGAGCTTAAGGGTCAACTGATACTATCTATCTATCCAAATTTCACTATGGACCTTGACTTTTAAAGCAACAACTTACTGTTCTTTAAACTTCAAAAAAAACCAAGCTGACACATGATCTCAACATTTTTTTTTCCTCCAGAAAAAAAGAAAGTTAAAAAAAAAAGAAGAAGAAGAAATATTTTGATTCTATAGAGTGGGTATAGACTGTTAATGTGGTGAACTTTCCTAGAATAACCTTGGCAGCCAGAGAGATGATTTGCTGAAGTGTTACCTTTTCAAACATTCTCCTTGTCTCCTAACTGCCATCTTGGTAACTTTCTTAGATGGTAGAGGAAAGCCAATAGACAATGGTCAGAGGAAAGTGGCCAAGAGAGAAGATGGAAAGGAAACCTTACTCCTTTCGATCTGTCTCCAATACTGCCTCAAAAATTTCCTGGGGTCACTAGGCACTCAGTAACATGCCCAGCATTGCCTCTTCTTAAAGAGATGGATGTGGTTGATGTACTAGGTCAAGCCTCAGAGACAGCAAACATACACAAAGGACCAGTCTAACTGAGGACACTGCCCCATCATACACAGCACAGCCAAGCTCAAGACTAAGGAGGAAACTATGGAGGGAAATGTAATTCTGAAAATATACCTGATTTCATTTTTGAAATGGTAAAATATCATGAAACATCTTCTTATTTCCGCTGCGACAATCTTCAAGGCGCAGAAACTGTGTTTCTTATTTGTCAGGAACTTTCTGATTCTCAAGAAATACTTTCTTAATTCCAGGTAGACTTTCAGGAAGTCTTCTGAGTGAGGATGTTTCGATGCACTGGACTCCTCTCTGTTCTCTTTTTTCTCTTCCATGAAGCACTGTTGAGCTTGCCGTACTTGTTTAAAAAGTCCCGATTTGATAATTTCCAAGTTTTTCTCTGGCACTGGGGAGACGTAGCTTTTAGGAGTGAAAATATTTAGTGACAGAGCAGATACCTGATGGAAGACCACATTTATGTCCGTTTTCTTATGCTGGATGTATGGCAGAAGAGTCTCTTTCGGAAACTTAAAATTTGTGATATCTTTTAGACATCTAAAGGGAAAGCCCTTTATGAAGCTATACAGAAGTTTCGAATTTTCCAAGATGGTCTGATCCAGATAAGCACAGTTCAGAGACTGGACGGGTAGAATGTATAGAGCCACAAGGGCCACCGGCCATAAATACTTTGGAGTCATCTCAGCCTTGGTGCTTAGTATTTTTTTCGAAACGAAAAAAAAATCTACAACACCCAGGACTGATAGTGATGTTGTAGCTCTTCTTCCATGGTCTTATATACCTGCATAGCTTTAGAAGGAGGCGTTTTCTTACTTAGATTCCTTTGCCTCCAGGCATTTTTTTGTAAGTGAGTAAAGCATTACTTTAGGATCCCAGGTGACCCATCCCAGGACTGAAGACTCGTAGTAATAAAACTGACACACAGGGGCTGTGGGTGGAGTTTAGTTTGTCAAGCACAGGCAAGGTCCCAAGTTCAGTTCCCAACACTGGAAAAAAAAAAACATTCAACTCATATCAAAAGCATAGTGATTCTTCTGGGATATATATATATTTGTACCTGATCCTATAGTCAAATTTCTGTTTTAATTGAATTAGTCATTAACCAAATGACTGTGATTACTGATGACTAGGTCACTAGCAATAACACAATTTAGTTTTCTCCAATCTTGACAAATTAAGCTTCTGTATTTAGAACTAACTTCCATTCTTTCTTTTTCATTTTTCCTTTTGTGTGTGTTGTTATTGTTTTCTTAATTTTTCTGGATCTCAAAGAAGATGATGAGCCTAGTTTGTCAACTTAGAAAGTGCAGGGTGAATAGTGTGGTTTTCTTTTCATACTGGAGGTTAATATTTCACAGCTATTCTTTCCTTTCTTTCTTTCTTTCTTTCTTTCTTTCTTTCTTTCTTTCTTTCTTTCTTTCTTTTTTTTGTTTTTGTTTGTTTGTTTGTTTTCGAGACAGGGTTTCTCTGTGTAGCCCTGGCTGTCCTGGAACTCACTCTGTAGACTAGGCTAGCCTCGAACTCAGAAATCCGCCTGCCTCTACCTCCCAAGTGCTGGGATTAAAGGCGTGCGCCACCACCGCCCGGCTATTCTTTCCTTTCATTAGACTCATCTCTGGGTCGCCTTTCATATACCTAAATCTTAGCAGTCTTCTGATGGATTGTATATTTAAATCATTTCTCTGCTTGATTAGTCTCACGTTGTTGTATTATGCAATTTCTTTGTTATACAGTTTAAATACAGATTTAGATTAGATGTAGTACTTAAAAACTTTTACTTCATTGTTTTTCCTTCTTACTTGGTCCTTCTGGAATCTGTGATGTATTTTGTTTGTTATGCTTGTTTTTCACCCATAAGGCATTTGGGTAGAAGGTCACCCATTTCAGCCAGCTAACTCATATATAGACTGCTATGACTATGCTAGCATGGTTGTCTGCCATAGATGATGCTTTCTTCTTCTTCTTTTTTTTGTTTGTTTTTCGAGACAGGGTTTCTCTGTGTGGCCCTGGCTGTCCTGGAACTCACTCTATAGACCAGGCTGGCCTCGAACTCAGAAATCCGCCTGCCTCTGCCTCCCAAGTGCTGGGATTAAAGGCGTGCGCCACCACCGCCCGGCTAGATGATGCTTTCTTTGTTTGACCAAATAATAATTTTTGGATTATGGTCTTATCAAATGGATTCCCTTTTTTAAAAGAATGTAACATAGCATGACTTTCAAAGACCTTAGTTTATATTCTTACTTTTTGTTAATAAAAAAGGAAATTAATGTATTTAAAATGGTATTCTACTGACATGAGAAACAATGAAAGTTATACAATAGCAGATTATGATTGAAAATTGGACTTAAAAATTCTTCTTAATCATTTGGTTGCATAAAAAGCTAATTGTGAGGGACTTTCTTAAACTCTGGGTTATTATGGACTGGCTTCTTGAAAACAGGAAATAATGCGGATATTCCTCTCTTAATCTACATAAAATTCTACTTTCACAGTTTCTCTGCATGACTAATTGTCAAAAACAAAATCAAAAAAAGTCTCTTTTACATTAGATTATACATTGATTTCAATCATTGATTGTCACAGGTGACAAAATGGTGGCACTGATCAAAATCTTTTACAGTGCACATGAGCATTGTCTTTGACTCAGCAATTCTGACTCTTAGGGTTTCTCCATATTGTTGCCCAAAGAAGAATAATAGCATTAAAAACTTGAAAAACATGACAATAAGCACTTGGTTAAGTAAAGCATCTGTGGAAAATTTCTGTAAAAGCCTTAAAAATTATATGTGGAAATATATTTGTTCACTATATTTTGTGACTATATTTTGTTTCTTAAAAGAAGCTTTCTAGGTAAGATGGAGTCCATTTGCATTTTTGTTAAATGTGGGTATTTGCATAGAAAGAAAAGAACATATATATATCCCAAAAGTGTGTGTGTGTGTGTGTGTGTGTGTGTGTGTGTACCCCGAAAGTGTTGAGTCTTCTCTCTGGAATAGAAAAATTAGTGATTTCTTTATTATTTTAATTTTATTCACCTATTTTAAGTTTTTGGTGGTCAGCAACTGTTTTCTTACTTAAAAAGCCAAAGTCTTTAAGAGAAAGTAAAGCTATAAAAGAAAAGTGTTGTATATGTAAAAGAGAATCAATAAACATAAACATCTCTACTTAAAAAGAAAATGTGGATTTCCCTAAGCCTCAGCTCCAGGTGGATTGCTGTGAATAGTATAGAGTCATGCCAGAGCTCAGTGTACTGATCGCGTAGCTTTTTTTTTTTTTTTTTTTTTGATTTTTTGAGACAGGGTTTCTCTGTGTAGCCCTGGCTGTCCTGGAACTCACTCTGTAGACCAGGCTGGCCTCAAACTCAGAAATCCACCTGCCTCTGCCTCCCAAGTGCTGGCATTAAAGACGTGCACCACGACTGCCTGACTCGGGTAGCTTTTTATACAAGAACATATTTATGCATACCTACAAACATTTTTGGTCACACACATACACTTCTGAGGGCCATGCCTTCATACATTGCTCATGTACTTTCTACCTAAGCCTTCCAGGTTGAGTGGTTCCAGGTTGAGTAGTTCCAGGTATAGCTGCTGCCATTTTGGGATTTTGCTATGCCTTGCCTTCCTTAATTATATGTTTTTGCAGTAAATGATTGTATAAGCGTTGATCTCTAATTTAAAACATTCCTTTCCAAGCACACTCCAGTTCATTCTGCTTAGTATTCTTTGCACGTGTTGAAGACAGTTCAGACGCGGTGCAGTTGCCTTGTTACATTAAGATGTTTCTTCTCATAGATGAAGAAGATTGCAGCAGATGTGGAAATTCCTGTATTTTCTTTCCATTAGTGGCTTTCTTATTTAAAAAGCTCCCTCCAGGGCTGGTGAGATGGCTCAGTGGTTAGGAGTACTGACTGCTCTTCTAGAGGTCATGAGTTCAAATCCCAGCAACCACATGGTGGCTTACAACCATCTACAATGAGATCTGATGCCCTCATATGGGTGTCTGAAGACAGCTACAGTGTACTTACACATAATTAATAAATAAATAAATAAATAAATAAATAAATAAATAAATAAATCTATAAAAAAAGAAGTTCAGGTAAAAAAAAAAAAAAGCTCCCTCCAACCTCCTCCTTTTGCTCATATCCTTATTTATTCAAAACTTCATTTTAATTCTTTGGCACTTGTGACTCATGACCCAGGGCCTGTAGAAGGAGGAATACAGTGTACTACTTGATGTCAAGGAACTTACAATTACAGACATGTAGTTGTGGGTGGACCTCGGTCTCCAGGTGCTTTAAATGTTAATTTGTGCTAATATTGACAGTATTTGTGACAAAGGAGGAGAGGTAGTTGGCATGCATGCCAACTGCCTCTCTCTGGCCATTAGCACTGCCTAATTTAGCAAAAAAATCTACAGGATATGCCTGCAATATTTCAGACATACCTGTACTGACCGAAAATCCTTTCTCCATTGACCTAAGATCCAAATTTTACTTGCTATCTTTATTTTATCTGGCCTGGCAATCTCACCAACCATAAGAGCTACCATTGATCTCTGATGGAGTCAAAGAGGACACTTCCTCTTCTAGAAGCTTTTCTGCTGCCTTCCCACCATCTCCTGAGAGTGGCATTTACCTTCATTTCTCAATACTGGCATCACTTATGGACAGATACAAAGAGGACACAGGTAAACACACATGCATACACTCACATATACTTACACAGCTTATTTACTTTCTACCTAAGTAATTGCTAATTACTCTAGTTAGAAACATTATTGGGCCGGGCAGTGGTGGTGCACACCTTTAATCCCAGCACTTGGGAGGCAGAGGCAGACGGATTTCTGAGTTCGAGGCCAGCCTGGTCTTCAGAGTGAGTTCCAGGACAGCCAGGGCTACACAGAGAAACCCTGTCTTGAAAAACCAAAAAGTAAATAAATGAATGAATGAATGAATAAAGAAAGAAGGAAGGAAGGAAGGAAGGAAGGAAGGAAGGAAAGAAAGAAAGAAAGAAAGAAAGAAAGAAAGAAAGAAAGAAAGAAAGAAAGAAAGAAAGAAAGATTATTGGATCGTTAGCTACTTGTTTAGGCTATCTGAATATACTTCAGAATCTGGAAATTGAAAGGCTATTGAGAAAACATTTTCTTTTTCATACACACATCTGTCTCAGCTGTCTTCTCTGTGATTAGCAGGATGTGCATTGATTTGCCAGCTCTGTGCCCATGATACTTACCTTTATTTCCTGCCGTGCTCTGAGGTGGTTTACATGTATGTAGTATTGTTTTCATTAGAATGAACACAATTAAGAGGGGCTACCCTGTAATCAGGTAAAGTGTGCAGTCCCTGCAGACTATAAAGCCAACACCAATGAGCAAGATGGAATTTGTTTGACAAAATGGAGAAAAGGCACATTTCAGGGGAGACAAACTAGTTTGGATTTACCTCAGTGGCACATGGATCTATAGCGAAGATTTATTACTTCCTATGAAAGGACAAGTTTCCAGTCCTGATGACTTGTTGGCCATCTTTGTTACTCCATTAGCCCAGAGTGAGTCACTTCAGTTGTGCTGTTTTGGAGGTAACTGAGCCCAAAGGCAGTATGCTTCCTTAACACTGAGACCTGGCTGTGTAATGTAGTCATGCCAGAGGAACCCTGTGAGTTCTACCAGATTATCCCCA